CAGGGAAAGGCATTTAGGGGGCAAGATCAGGCCAGCAGGGGAGGGCAGTTGGGAGCAAGACCAGGCCAGCAGTTAGGAGCAATCAGGTAGGCAGGCAGAGGGGTTAGGGAATCAGGCAGGCAGGCAGAGGCAGTTAGGGGTGATCAGGCAGGCAGGTAGGTGAGCAATTAGGAGCCAGCAGTCCCAGATTGTGAGAGGGATGTTTCCCTAGGGGTCCCCAATTGGAGAGGGTGCAGGCTGGGCTGAGGGAACCCCCCTTCTGTGCATGAGTTTCGTGCCCCAGGCCACTAGTCTATATTATAAAAGGCCAGTGGCTATAACACTGTAATGCCAGAATGACCAAACAACCGGTCACCAGAAGATGCATGGAGCACCTCTCAGTTCCTTTCCTGTGGCCCACAGGCTCCGATTGCAGCAAGGCTGGTGGCCGGTGGGCAGGGCATGCACGGAAGGGCCAGCAAGGCGGTGAGGCAAGGCAAGTGTGGTGTGGCACACACGGGTGGGTGGGGCTGCCAGTGGGCGGGGCGAGAGCTCAGTGGGGTGAAGGACTGGAGGGCAGAATACAAGTGGGTGGGCAGGGCCATGCGATTTCACATCCTGGGCCTTTAGTATCCTATAATATCTAACAGGTTAGTATAGCAAAGAAGAAAGGAAGAGAAATAATTCAGCAAAAGCACAAATTTTAATTTTGTAACTTGCAAAGAAATTTTAAGAGGAGAACTAAAGGATCATCTGGCCTATGCTCATCATGGTGCTTCTCAGAGCTGACTTCAGGGTTGGAAGTGAGGGGTTTGGTGGCAGAACTCCTTGATCCCATTCCTTCCAGCATAGAAGCTCAATTTTTATCTCTTAATCCACCTAAGAGTTTAGTGGAGAAAATGGTTTCTCTGGTTAAAAGTAATTTGAAAATCACCTATGCAGCCAGAACCACTCTTTTCTTAAATGAGAAAAATAAATGCCCGAAAAATGAAGGAATTCTTAATTTAGTGATGGTCTTAGACCCATACCCTGGGTCACATCTTTCTCCCATTCCTCTCCCCACAGCACACCATGCTGTCTCTTACACAGAGGGAGCAACTCAGGTGAGAATTTCCATGCCTTTGTAGTTGAGCATTTTTTGGGAAGGTATCCAATGAAGCTAACTCAGTGTGAGAAGAGGCATAAAGACACAGTCCTCAATTATATTCTTGTCCTGTATTCTTCCTTCCTAGGCACATTAAGGATTATGTCATCATCCAGAACCTGAAAGGGTCATGGGGGAGGATGGAAAGGCCTAGTTCCATTTTCTTATGTCACCAAATGTATTGCTATTAAGATTGTGAGAAGATTTCATGCTTGCTGAAAACTTGCTGACATTAATGACTCAAATTCTCAGAGCAACTGCAAGGAAAATGGTGTCATCACTGTCATTCAATACATTTAAGATGAAGTTTCACGGGAAGGCTGTCAGGCACAATGACTGCCAGGCTCTATTATATCACTCCCAGGGGGTGGATCACACACACTACTCTGCAGCTTGTGGGTGGGTGGTATGGAATTTTGAAAAGGAGCAGCACAGAGGGGAGAAGAGGTAGGCGTAGGACCCAAGGGGGCTGCCTCACAGTCAGAAGGCACTGCCGGTGACACTCATATGATGACTGAGGGAAAATCTATGATCCAGAGCTTGGTCTTGAATTTTGAATATGCTGGAACCTACCCCTCTCAAGACATTTCAGCAAAATCATGTTCTTGGTGCTGAACAAAATTCTGAGCTACACAGGATAGTGTAAATTTACTAATTTGCAATGAGAATATTCTTCCCTAATGATTAGACATTCATGTCTCCTTAGATCCCAACACCGAGACTGCTGCTAAGCCCAGTTAAGAGTCACAAGGCAGCCTGTGAGGAGGGGAAGTACTCCGGTTCTCAGCCCTGGCTGTACATTGCAAACTCCTGAGGCCACATTCTGAAATCAAACAAATCTAAGTCTCAGGAACTAGGACCCAGACATCACTAGTTTAAAATATCAAGTGACTTCATTGAACAGCCAGGTTAGAGCTGAGATGTCCTCAGGCCTCATCCTTTTCACACAGGGATCCGTGCTCTTGTATGTTAAAGACCAATCAGGTTTTGTTTTGTATTTTTAAGTTGGGAACAGATATAGGTTTGCCATTTTTTTTTAACTTGCAAAGCAAGGCACATATTTTATTTTATTTTATTTAAATATTTTATATTGATTTTTTACAGAGAGGAAAAGAGAGGGATAGAGAGTTAGAAACATTGATGAGAGAGAAACATCGATGTGCCCGCAAGCAATGTATAATACATGCCCTTGACTGGAATCGAACCTGGGACCTTTCAGTTCGCAGTCTGACACTCTATCCACTGAGCCAACCGGTTTTGGCAAGGCAAGTATTTTAATTAAAAATTAAATTACTATTATTTTATGAAGAAAAAAGTCTTAACAAAATATTAGGAAGGACACAATTTCATGATAAAAGAGTAACTCACTATGCTGTGTTTCTTTTTCTCACTCTAAACTGATGCAAACCTAATGGGTGTGATCTAATTGCTCTCTGCAGTCACAGGCAGGGCTTCTCTTCCTGCACAGCCTAGAGACGTTTGGCAAGGTTTTGATTCATTAAACCACTGCCCTGTGCTAACTACCCGACATCCCCCTTACCACTCTCGTTTTTGTAAAGGTGTTAATATTATTGATTAAGTTGTAGGTTATTTCTGCTTCCAGGCTTGGAAGTGTTGTCTCTTCCCATTACAAAATATGTCAATTTAAATAGAATTCTCCTTGGATATTTTAAACTAAGATTATTGGACTGAATGTGGCACACACACCTCCAGATAACTGCTGGTGCTCCCTTGGTTTCAGTGTACAATGATGATAATTAGTCTAAATCCAGTGGATAATTAATTGGGAGGCAAAATAACCTGTGGTGAGTTGTTTATTCTGTGTCAAGTTACATGCAATAAAGACTTACTTATATCCTAACCCTAATTTTGAGTTACCCTTTTGAATCTTGTGTATGCCCCATTCTTTCAAGGCCATAGTTTGTGTTGTCCCCTCCTTCTCTGAAGGGACCTTGGCATTCTTGAATCAGATCTACACTTAATTGTATATCTTTAACAAGACAGCTTATAGCAAGAGAGGATTGCTGTGTCCCAAAGTCCAAGACTATATCTTTAAGTTCCCCTACAAGCACACACAACCTAGAGACCCATCTATGCTGCCAATGTGTGAAATAAATTTTCATGTATTGACTTCTTCTAAGCTGTGATGCTTCACAATGGATTAACCATGTGAAGCTAATATAACCATGTGCTTTTGAGCAATTGGGGAAATCTTATTTGCAAACATTTCTGTTCTTCAAGCACCCAAGATGTATAACTAAGAGTGGGCTACTCTGTCTTTGTTAACTCCTAGTTCAACCCAACCCCAACTGAAGAGTTTGCATCTCCTCAAGGTCATGGGCTGCTTAGAATAGCACATACAACTCAGAATTAGATCTGAATTTGAATTTAGCTCCTTTACTCTCTTGGACAAGTTGCTTTATCTCTCTGAGCATCAATTTCTTTATCTTTAAAATGATATATCATCATCTTGACTACCACCACCATCATCTTCATTATTGCTCATATGGTAACTATGTGCATTAAAATTAGATAATTTAGGTAAAATAGTTAGCAAGGTGTCAAACATATGAAGTTTTACCAAAAGTTATGAACTTTCATCCTAAAAGTTAAGAACTCTTTGTAGGTCAGGCCTAGCACAACAGTTATTCAGTAAACACCCCTCCCCACCCTCACATCTGTGCACAAAGACAGGAATCTTATTGGAAATGCAGGATTTAAAAGCTAACACCAAATTCTGAATTTTAGTCTTCAGATCTTGACAATTAAACTCACTTGCTACTTAATCTCACTCATGATTTTGTCTTTTTACTCCCTAGAGAATTACCTCTCCTAGGACCCCTGTTATTCTGTGGCAAATTTTTAGAACCTCCCATCTGACCAGAGTCTCTTCTTCTCATGACCATGCCCTTATCTTCTTTACAGATTCTGGTACTTTTCAGGCTCATAATAATATCCCCTTACTATTGTCCTGAAGTAGCCAAATATTTGAAAGAAAATCATTTAGAAACCTAGGTATTTGTAATAACATCTCCATATTTAAAAAAATTTTTTTTTTTTAGCTAGGAAAAACTTGAATCAAATTCTCCATTGACACATTGGTTCTAAATCATAGATCTTGGAAGGGGAAAAAAAGCTAGGAGGAAAAGCCCTGGTGATTGGTGTAGGGCACTTCAAATCCATGCAGGACCCAATTCAAGCCTATATTTTGTCCTGCTACAGTGATCGTTTTTCAAAATCAGTTAACACCCACCAATAAATAGACACTTTTCCTTTCCACCTCTGCAAAAATTCTCTTCTGTCACACACACACACACACACACACACACACACACACACACACACAAAAAAAAAAAAAAAAAAAAAAAAAAACCACACAAAACCAAACTCACAAAAATAAACACACATCAATACACGAACTTCTCAAGTTGCTGAAAATTTGCCATAGGAACTAAGCCTGTTTCTGAAAGTTTCAACTCATCCAATCAGACAAAAGGCTGAAGAAAGGGAGGCATTTATCAAGTTACTCGGAGGACTCCCATCTGTTATCTTAGACCTTTGTTACCAAGGGACAGAGGAGGAGATACTCAAGGCAGTTTGAAAGAGTTTTATTTTACAGATTCTTAGTCCAAAGATTTTAAATTAGAGAGAATTAGAAGCAAAAGGGAGAAAGGACAAGTGTGTGCTGAAGAAGCCTTCTATGGCGTTCTGCAGACATTTCACCTGGCCGCAGCCCCCTGCCACAAAGCTGCTCTTCGGCTGCGCTCCGTCTGTTCAGTTTCTACAATCAATGCAGTCAGAAGGACAGGCCAGTAGCTTCTCATCACTCAAAAGGTCTTATTTTTGAACTTCCCCCTCACAAAATCCACTTCTCATTATGCCAAGCCAACAGAAGAAAGTCATTTTTTGCATGGCGGGAGTATTAAGCTTCGTGTGTGCCCTTGGAGTTGTGACAGCCCTGGGGACACCGCTGTGGATCAAAGCCACCTTCCTCTGCAAAACAGGGGCTCTGCTAGTCAACGCCTCGGGTCAGGAGCTGGACAAGTTCATGGGGGAGATGCAGTACGGGCTCTTCCACGGAGAGGGCACGAGGCAGTGCGGACTAGGAACACGGCCCTTTCGGTTCTCATGTGAGTAGCAATTGCATTTTGTGTTTTTAGTATCTTAGGCACGCTCCTCCAAGGATTGCAGGAAATTACTTTTAGGAGCCTTGTCCTGTCTATTGCAAGACTTTTTATATAGGTATGAGCCACTTGAAATACCTAAGACTCTTCTGAGCAATCTCTTCTTCCTCATTTTTATTTTGTGTTAATTTTATTGAGTATTTCATCCTTGCAATTTTTATTATGACAACATATAGTTAATGTGTGGCCATGGAGTTAAACTTTTTTGAAAAGAAAATTTTTTATTGAATATTAATATTTATATAAGAAATTATGGGGTCTTGTTAAAAAGAGAGGAACTTTAAAATGTTTTTCATTTTGTTGTTTAAAAAAGGGTCAATTAGTGCTGTGGGCTCCTTAACCAAGCCTCGCTGCTTTCTACCCCACTCATGACTTTGTTTCCTGTCCACTCCCCTTTATCCTGGCAAGTCCTCTCCTACTCATGAATACTTTTTTAAATCAACTTAGAATCACTTGGCTATAGAAATTTAAATCAATCAGCTGTACTAACTGGAGAGAAATCGTTTCCTATTTAGTATAGTATATGAAATTTTCACGTGATTGACTTTCAAATCACGTAGAGAATATGAGACAGATTTTCTGTCACGATTTTTGTGAAATGGAAGTGTTATCCTCAATATTTATAACCTGTTTATCTTAAGAAGAGAACTTCTTAAAAATTACCATGTGAATAGGCAACTCATTAAATGAAAATTAATAAGAAATCATTAGTTATATCTTTCACAACATGCATGTAGAAATTATTATTTCAAAAGGGCTGGTTTGGAACAATCTTATGAAGACACAACCAGTAAATTAGTGCATAAATCACTCCTCAGGAAAGGAGGTTGCCAATGAGGCATTGAAAGTGAATTATTATTTTGTCTGGGTATTTTTTTTCCCACTAGCATAAGTTAGAAGGCTAAATTAATTGAATTTATTATTAACATATGCAGTATCTAATTAAATTTCAGAGCTGGTATATTTATATTTCTGCAACACTGCTTATATCTTTTTAGCAGTCATTGGCTACCAACCTTCATCTCAAATAGTGAGTTCATAAGTGATAAGAATTTTCATAGAGTGCCAGCAATTCTCCAAAGATTAGTCATCAGCTTTTCAAGAAATGATTATACATTAGATTTTATGAAGTGGATACCAACTCTTTTTACTGAATGGCTTCAGCTTATTAAGGTAATGGACCTGTTAGAGTTGCTTAGCTTTCATGGGGGAAGGGGGAAGGGGGGAAGGGCAGAGAACAAAGCAGAATGCCACATGATTTGCAACATATTACAAAATAAAAAAGGGGGGGTGGGAAATGAGCAGGTGATTAACCATGAGTCACTGGCAGCTTAAAGCAGGAGTAAAGCTTCTCAGAGACAACTTTAGACAAAAGCAGGGAACATACAGAGAGGTTCCTTGAGTCCGAATTTTCTATAGAGAATTGTTTCAAAAACAATGTTTCCTGAATGCTTACTGGACACTAAGCACTATGCACAGTTTGTCCCATTTAACCCTCACTCAGCCACATTTCTCTGAGGTTCAGTGGCAGGGTGTTATGGCTGTGTTCTGTGCTGATCTTGTCTCGGATGAAGTTAGTCCAATCAGGCATTCCTCCCTTTGCTTTCTGTGAGGACTCAGAGCTGGTGGGCTTAAACAATACCCTCCCCTATCTCACAGAGTTGCATTAATCCCTTATTTTCCCCCAGTCTAGTGAAGAAATTTTTATATTTGCTTGTTTTTTTAATGGTGACAATCCTTTCCATATACTATCCCAGGCACATTAACATTCCATTATTTCTGAGGCCCAGGGAAGTGTACTTACAGTATAATATTTTCTATCTAAGCAGAAAAGTACCCTTTTCTTTTTTCTTAATATATATTTTTATTGATTTTTCACAGAGAGGAAGGGAGAGGGATAGAGAGCATGAGAGAGATACATCGACCAGCTGCCTCCTGCACACTCCCCACCGGGGATGTGATCTCAACCAATGTACATGCCCTTGACGGGATCGAACCTAGGACCTTCAGTCCCCAGACCGACGCTCTATCCACTGAGCCCAAACCAGTTTCGGCAAAAGTACCCTTTTCAATGGAACATAAGAGAAAGTTGGGAAAACTGTAGAATAAATAGATCCAATAGACTCCCTAAAAGGCATAAGGCTCATTTAAATAAACACTCCTTTTTAGTGTTAAAAATTTCCTAATCAATGTGCCTCAGGACACACCCAGTTTACATTCTCAGTCAATAGAGCTTCTCGGTAGCCAGCTTCCCATTCAAAATGCCAGCACCCTGACTAGGCTTTCCATTAACATTCCCTTGAAGGGACAGAGCTCTCTGACATTCTTCCTGATAGGAAAATATAACCCTGTTCACAAAAAAGAATCAGAACCCAGCTCTGTGTTCTTAATAATAGTTTCCTTTGAGCAAAATCCAGGGCCCCCAAAAAGTTAAAAGTGGATGATTCTTTTGTTTCTTCTAGTTGAACTTAAAATTAGAGTACACCTCATTTCCCAGAATTTTCCTCTTTCTCCTTTTCCCTTTAGAAAGTTATTAGGCAAACATCTGGATTTGCAGAAACTTTCCAGGGTGGGCAGAGTGGAAAAAATAACTCATCAAAGTATCAGTAACTTTATGGCTAAGTTTCTTCGTGATCATGTTATCACCAGTTAATATGCATGCATATTTCAGTTTTTTGTTTTTGTTTTGGATTGCTAAATGCTACCTTGTTTATCAAAGTTTTCATTTAGATCAGCATTGGTCAACAGAAATGTACTACAAGCCATAAATACAAGCCACATATGTAATTTCAAATGTTCTAGTAGCCATATTAGAAAAAGCAGTAAAAGGAAGCAAGTGAAGTAAATTTTAATTACATATTTTCTGTAACACAAAATGTCCAGGATACTGTCATTTTAACTGTCAAAAAAGTAGTGAGCTATTTTTACTTTTGTTTGGTGATAAGTCTTAGAAGTGTGGTGTGTATGTTGTACTCAACACATCTCAACTCGGACCAGCCATGGTTCAAGTGTGCACTAGTCATTTCAATGTGGCTAATAGCTGTCACGCTGGAGAGTACAAATCTAGATGGAGATTTGCTCTCAATAAATTGGGTATTGATGGTGTCCATATTCTAAATTAATTTTCGCTTGTTTCTCTACAAGGTTATGTGTGTTATTTTTATGTGCAATGTATGTGTAACTTTTAAATCTGAGATATATGGTATAACATGAGGATGAAGACTAGGCCAGAAAAATAGTTAGGCAATGTTGTCATTTTTGTTTTTATTAAATGGTCCTATTGACTACTCTATCTCTTTTAATTATAACAAGAATCTTCCCTGTCAGCATGCACAGCTATGCTGGGAAAACTTCTGCTTCATTTACTCTGGCCAGTTCTCATCCATTTAAGGATCAGTGGTTCATTTTCTAGAGGTCACTAGCAGTCATGCCTAACATGCAATTTCATTCATTTTAATGAAGAACTGTTTTTCTTCCAAGGCAACACAAGTGGTGGGCTTAATTTTTCCTGATATGTCACCTGTAAACTTTTGATGATGATTTTAAACTCTAAATATGCCATCAAGACAAAAACTGCCAGTGTTGTGTTCAGCGTGTGTGGGGAGTTTTCTGCTTTGGTGATTTGAAACACTACAGAGCATCATCAAAATACGATACCCAAGAATCACATGGTATCAATAATTCCTAGATATGCCAATCTGTTCATTGCCAAGAAAGTTCAATGAGCTGGTAAAACATATAGAATTTTTTTTCTTAATGTGAAAAATAAAATTTAACCAATCATGTATCACAGCTTGCTACTTCAGTCATACAAAGTATTTTAATTTAATGATTGAAATTTTGAAGAAAGCTTAACAGAGGCTTTGATTTTCATATTTTAAGCAGTTTCTTTACCAAATAAGCATATGTTCCAGACTGCAGAGGGAATGTTGAGACTCCTTCTATGAGCAAGCAGGTAGCTTCTCAAACATATATGGGGCAGAAGAGTTGGGATTCTGGATCTCTGTCACCTGTGCCATTCTGTCGCCATGGTCTCCACAGTGTAACTGCTGTCTCCTGACAACCCACCTGCCTGCCCAGGTGATTGATTTCCGGGTCACCATCTTCACAACCTGCATCCTATCCTCCCCATTACATTGCCAAATCACGCAAAGTTGCAAAGGTCTTTGATGTACCTGTCTCTCCTCCCTTCCTCAGTGCATGGCCTGTGCAGAAGCAGGCTGGTGTGCGTGGGACAAAAGCCTATGGAGTTCATCTGATAAGACTACCTGGTGGGATGAATGGGCAAAGGAAGTGACTTGTATCATTTCACCTAGCCTGCATGGGCCCTCCTGCCTTTTACCTTCAGGCACTAACGTTTAGTCTCACTCACCCATCAAAACCGTCCAGCAGCCTCACAGCATGGCTCAGTGGTTGAGAGTCTACCTAGGACCCAGGAGGTCACAGATCAATTCCTCATCAGGGGGCACATGCCCAGGTTGCAGGCTCAATCCCCAGTGCGTGATCCCCAGGAGGCAGCTAATCAATGATTCTCTCTCATCATTAATGTTTCTATCTCTCTTTCCCTCTCCCTTCCTCTCTGAAATCAATAAAATATATTTTAAAACACACACACACACACACACAAAAACACACACACAAAAAACAAAACAAACAACAGTCCAGCAAATAGAAATTTTGTTTTCCTTCCATTGGAAAAAAGTGATTAGTGAAATAGAAGAGAGTAATGTTTAAGAAGCACTAGTGTAAAGGAAAACCCTACAATTTCTCTCAGCCAAATAACTTTTTCCTCCTCTGTCCTTTCCAGATCTTGCTGTTTACTCTACTATTTCAAATCGCTTTGTTTTATAAGCATTTGAGAATGTGTATTTCTCTGCACAGAGATCCTGAGCCCCAAGAAGGCAGAGGTTCATGCTGGTGCTCCCTCAAACAGGACCTGGCACAGT